CAGGGGCCAGGGGTTCAATCCCCTGGTATGCCATGATGGTCCTGCTCCCGGGGCACACTGAGCTGGCGATTGAAACTGGATATGGTGGTGCACCCCAGTAATCCTAGCTCTTGGGTGGCTATAAATAGGCAGATCACTATGAATCCAATCTAGTAGTGAGACCCTGAACACCCTGTAGAACCTTCCTTAAAATACGAAAAATAAATAAATAAAAATATAAAATAAAAATTTTTTAAAAAGAAGTGACTGATTTGGTCAGTGCAGACACCATTTGACTCAGAGGCCACCTCCAGAGACAAGAAATGGAGCTCTCTTTCCTGCACCTCCTTCTGCCTGCTTTCTTTAGGCTGAAGGCAGGAGGATCCAACTTCTCTTAAGAGCCATTAATAGGCTCATTATGCTGGCCAGTGATTGGACAGATTTTATTAACCTCACCGACAATCAGTGGCTCCCAGCTCTGTGCATGGATGAACTTTGGGAACGGAATTCCTGTGGAATAATGTAGTGGGTCTGCATTAGGAGTAAATGAGTTCACAGTGATTAATACTTTTGCTGCAAACAACTTGGGGATGCGTGGCTGGTTGCCTTTTGCAGGAGCCTTTCCTTTGCAAGTGACATTCAATTGCATTTCCAGATGAGTTCTCCCTGATGGCTTCTAGGAAGTTTATTTCCATGATGTCATTAGTGATGGGCCACAGACAGTGGCTGCAAACCAGTTAGAAGGTCTTGAGGAGAATTTCATTTTCTGGTTGGGGCTGGGAGTGAGCCTGAGTTGGGGAGGAAGCCTGCATACTAAGAGCTTTCCCCACACTGCGCTGCAGGGAACAGAGAGCCCAGCATCACCATCGGTTCCATCATATAACCTTGATCAGAGATCACATATACCTCCACCCCAAAGGAACATAAAAAGCCAGTAACAGAAAAATCAAATATGCTTTCTGCTTCCAAAAAAATCTAATAATTAGGCTGGAATTGACACAAATTAGAATGCTGCCAAAAAAATACTGAAAACAGTGACTCATTCTGTATTTCAATTAACAGTTTCTCAGTTTCCCTTATAAACAGTGAAGCTGACAAAAATTAATTATCCAAGAGGGGTAAAATATTTCCTTCCAAAGTAAACAAAGCATCATGAGCTGAAACAATAGCATGTGTAAACAAAGGCGAGGGAGAGTGGTTCTCCTATCTCATCAATGAAGGCATCATGTGGATAGTCTTTACTCTAAATGTCTCCTTTGAAATGTACTGGGCACAAGGACAGTGTTCTTCTGGTCTCCTTTTTTCTCCTTCAATTATCCATTTCTTCTAGCCTTTGCATAATGCCAACTTTTTTCTGAATATCTTGCACACAGATATGAGCGTGAAATAACTGATTTTAGTATTTGTATGATAAGTACACTTTAAATTCTTTGGGTGCAAAATAGCCTTGTAGATAAATAGTAAGATTTACCAACTCATACAACATTCTTACCTGATTGCATGAGTAGCAACTTGGAAGAGTATGATAGGATGATACTGACGTGGGCCTTGTCTCTACTCACTCCATGCTAGCAGATAAGTAGGTGTTATGAACAGTGTCCCTGTTTGGTCAACTCAACTCGACTCCAATCAACTCCACTGAACCCAAGTGATAGTTCAGCCAAGAAATGGAATGGAGGAAAGAAGCAGGGTTTTTTTTTTTTCCTTTTTGAGATAAGGTCTCACTTTGCAACTCAAACTAGCTCTGAGGAATATAAGTGACAGGGATAATGTTCGGCCTGATTGGAGAAAGAGGCAAGCCTTGGGCACCGGGATAACCTGGGAACTGACAGCTCTCCTCCCTACCTATAAGGGTTCATCATATTTTTTTCCTAAGGTTCTTGGGGCTCAGCATCCCTTGATTTTCTCAAGTGAAGAAATTCAAGAGGCCTACACATCACAGGAGGCAGTTATGGTGGCTATAATCCTGGAACTGGGAAGCTGGGGCAAGCAAATCACAAGTTCATGCCCAGCCTGAGAAACTTAATGATTTAGCAAGATTCTATTTCAAAATAAAATGTAGGAAGGGGTAGGAAACGAAGCTCAGGGCAAGGACCTTGAATTCAATCACAAAAAAAAAAATAAAAATAAAAAAAATAAATTAAATTAAATAATAATGCTTAAAATACAATTGGGCATGGTGGCACATGCCTCCAATCCCAGCACTGATAAGTCTGAGACAGGAGGACTTTTGTGAGTTTATTACCAGCTTGGGTCACAAAGCAAGCCCAGAGCTAGTCTGAGTTGTATAGCGAGACTCTGTCTCAAAATG